CAAACTCTACCAATGTGTGTGCCAAGACCTGGTGTCACAAGTGAATGAGCATCTAGTAGATTATGCAAAACTCCAAATACTGTCTGAAATGAAATAGACATAATATAAATATCAGAAGAGACACAGGTAGCTGCAGAACGGTACAGAAAGGCAGCTCACCACTATGCCTCGGGATGACGTGGGTATGTGATGATAGGTTCTCCACCAGTACCTGTCTCAGATCCTGCACAAAAAGTGCATCAAATGTAGTATGAGTACGTAAACAACGTGTACCAAGTAAGTATCAAGCCTAATCTCGAAGTGGTAGAGACGAGATGACCGACTTTGACACTCACTATAAGTCAATAATACTTGAAATAAAATTAGGATATTTAAATCAGCGTGATTTACAGAATTTACAATAATTTATTTAGTCAGCAGAAATAATCAAATTCCTTCAAATGTATCAATTCTCAATATATTAATTAAATTCCTTCAATTCAAATAAATTCCAATTTATCAATTAAATCTCATTTACAGGAGTAACAATTAATTCCTTAACAAGCAAGAATAATAGTTCATTAAATTTTGAAGATTTTTTAATTTACTAATTAGCTTCACAAGCTGAAATAAATTATTAAAGTATCGTGTAATTATTATTATTATTATTAAGCATGATTTCTGCCGAGGACGTACGGCCCGATCCAGAGTGCCGTGTACACTGCCGAGGGATGTGCGGCGCGATCCATAGATGCATCTATCCTGCCGAGGCGTTCGGTCCGCTCCACAAGAAAGGAGGACATTTTCTTATGTGCCTCCGGAAGGACAATATGTTTATTATAAGATAAATTTTGGAGGAGAACAATTTCTTTTGACAATTAATTGATTTAAATAGAAATCAAACCTATGAGATTTTCATCCTTTAATATCTTTATCAAACAATTCACAATATATTCATATATATATCAATTAATATTAATTAATCAAAGAATATAATTTACACAAGTAATACACGCTTTGAGTCGTAAACTACCCGGACTTTAACATTAATAATAGCTACGCACGGACTCTCGTCACCTCGTGCGTATGTAGCCCCCACAATTAGCAACAATTATTTAATCTCAATCACCTATGAGGTAATTTCCCCCTCACAAGATTAGACAAGAGACTTACCTCGTCTTGCTCTAATTTAATCCACAACTTTTGCCTTTTTCACGATTATCCAACTCTGTCTCGCTCGAATCTAACTAAAATAATTCGATACAATCACTAAGTATTATAGGAATCAATTCTATAAGAAAATACTACATTTTAAAGAAAAGATCCGAAATTAATTAAAAATTCGTCCGCAGGGCCCACATCTCGGAATCCGGCGAAAGTTATGAAATCCGACAACCCATTCAATTGCAAATCCAACCATACCAGTTTCACTCAAATCCGACTTCGAATCGATACCGAAATCTCAAAATTTTGTTTCTATGAGATTTCTAAACTTTTCCAAATCTCAAATATCAAAACACTAATTAAATTGAGAAAAACAATGATACACTTGTATATGTAGACCAAATCCGAGTTAGAATCACTTTCCCCAATGTTTTTCCCTCGAAAATCTGCCAAAAGTCGTCTCTACTCAAGCTCAAGTTCGTCAAAAATGGCAAATGGGACGAATGCCCTCTTTTTATAAAACTACTCAGCAGCCTTCGGAACTGGTCCTCGAACTGGGCCTCGATCGCGGTATCGAACATCTGCCTTCTATCAGGGCATCGAGGTTGTGCCTTCGATCAGGGCATCGAGCTTGGGTCTCGATCCTAGCCCTCGAGCCATACCTTCGATCATGCCCTCGAGCCTTGCCTTCAATCGCGACTTCGATCTCAGGCTCGAGCCTGGACCTCGGTCATGGCCTCGATCAGGGTATCGAGGTTGGGACTTCGATCATAGCCTCAATCATGTCATCGAGCTTGAGCCTTCGATCGTGACCCTCGATCTTGGGTCTCGATCCTGGCCCTCGAGCTGGACCTTCGATCATGGCCCTCGAGTTGGACCTTCGATCATGACTTCGATATCTAGCTCAAGCCTGTACCTCGTCAACCCTGGGCTCGATATCTGCCTCGGTATCTGGGCTCGATCACAGCCCAGAATGTCCAACAGAAGAGGAAAAATTACAACAGCTTTTTAACTCAAATTTTTGATCCGTTAACCATCCGAAACTCACCCGAGGCCCTCGGGACCTCAACCAAATATACCAACAAGTCCTAAAATATCATACGAACTTAGTCGAACCTCTAAATCACATCAAACAACGCTAAAACCATGAATCATACCCCAATTCAAGCTTAATGAAACTAAGAGTTTTCAACTTCTACATTCAATGTTGGAACCTATCAAATCAACTCCGATTGACCTTAAATTTTACACACAAGTCATAAATTACATAATGGAGCTATAAAAATTTTCGGAACTGGATTCCGACTCCGGTATCAAAAAGTCAACTCCCCGGTCAAACTTTCAAACTTTAAATTCCTATTTTAGCCATTTCAAGCCTAATTTCATTACGGACTTCCAAATAAAATTCCGATCACGCTCCGTAGTCCAAAATCACCATGCGGAGCTGTTGGAATCATCAAAATTCTATTCCGGAATTATTTTCTCAAAATGTTGACCGAAGTCAAACTTAGCACTTTAAGGCCAACTTAAGGAACCAAGTATTCCGGTTTCACCTCAAACACTTCCAAATCCCGAACCAACCATCCCCGCAAGTCATAAATCATTACAAGTAGCTACAAAAAGCTTTATTTTAGGGAACTGGATTCTAAAAGTTAAAATGACCGGTTGGATCATTACATTATGTCATTGCAAATGTCATGAAAATTTGGCCATATTACAATCTCATTAATTTGCGACCAACTAGGAGCCATGTTGTAACACAAAAGAGAGAAGTTATATGGTAGTAATATTTTGTCCTATTTTGTTGGGTTTCAGGTACCATAAATATTGCTAGACATTGAAATTCTTGTACAATCTCATTGTTCTTTCTCATATTTCCTCAGTTAAATGGAGCAATCTTTTTGTTCTGTATGGTTTCAATTCTCAGAAAAATTCAGGCCACCTTTCATTAAGGGATAAAATCCTCTTTCAAATAGTTTCAAGCAAAACACAATAGATTCAGCTTCCAACCGGAGGCGGATGCAATGTACCAACATTTTTTATGCGAAAGTAAATTTATATGTAAAAATATATTAATATTGCAATATATATGAACCCATAACTTTAAAAAGACAATTGGTTCAATACTAAAAACCTTAAAGGTTAAACCCATAAAACTTAAATCCTAAATCTACTTACTCAGTCACAATTGATGTAGGTGGTCAACTTTTTCAAACCACAAAACAGTTGCAACTAATAAACCTACAACACTGCATTAAACGAGCAAATTAAACAAACCATTCAACATCTTTGTACAATGCAAGTTAATTTTCCTAGACACAGGGGATTAAAACATGTTCTTGCTTGGTGAATCATAAACTTTCCCTTTGTGTTATCCACCTTAAGCTTATTGCCATACATATCAAGCTTGCCCTTAAACTTTGTCGTTCCCCAAGTTCACTTTGTCGATAACCTCACCCAAGTCCTACTTGAAAATATCATTGACTGCTAAAAAAAAAGGACATTAGTTAGTGGAATAGGAAGTTATGAAATTGGAGGAGGATCTTACAGTAGTAAGCTTCCGGCCGCCGTTGAACTCGTATCCTTCAGGAGTCATCTCATCGCATTCGAAGAGCATCACTGGAGCATAAGCTCCGCTCGTTGAATCCTCTGCTGTGAACGGCCTCCCATATTATCCGGGAATCAACGTCACAGTCTTATATTTCTTGCACCCTTTGCACTGAATATGAAAAATTAATTAGAGAGATGAGAAACAAAGTTGGATGTAAACAAGGATAAAATTACGAGTTTTTTTTTTTTACGTTTATGACATGGTTGACTGTGTCACGCCCGTTGTACTCACTGTCATTCATATAGACACACTGTCTTTTTGACAGCTCGTCACAGTTTTGGCATTTCAGCTGAAACAAAAACAAAGAACATAGAAACTAAGATATTTTCTCTAGCTACTTGTTCTTCATATAAACAAAATGAAATTCTTTCCACCGTTTGGAACGTGGTGGCAATGCGGCTCAACCTATAGTTGATTTCTAGTAGAAATATCATCTTCGCCTTAACAAGAACATAGGAGTTTTTGTTTCAAGTGAGAAGAGAAGCAATGCTTGCACATTTATGTAGGAGTAAGCATGTGGGGCAAAACGTGAGTAGATTGTGGGTGTACGATAGAATGGTGAACTTTAGTAATTCGAGTTTGTAAACTTTAGTAAAGATTTCAGCCTAAAGAAATAGGCATAATCGAAATATTGACTCCATTAAAATAATCCGACTATGCCATATTTTTTTAAGCTGAAAATTTTACCAAAGTTTGTGGCGATATATCATATATATCCAAGACAAATCTGATATTGGATAATTGTAGATAGGAAATAGGGAGAGAATAATATGGAGAGAGGGTATTCGGTGAAGACAATGGAGATATATCCCCTCCTATATAGAATCTCTCCAATTTTAGCAGTGCAGGTCTAATTTAATGACATATGTCATTTTTCAAATCTAAAGGCCAAGATTAAATCAGTCCATAAACTATGGTTAAAATTAAATATTTCTATAATTTAGTTTTTTCTTAAATCTAAAATCATTTACTTACGGGGATAGTGGGATACCGTACCAGCAAATCAAATTCTTTCATGAATTTTTTTTATTATTATTCTTTCATGAATCAAATCTCCAAATTGTTAAATCTTTTTCTCCCCAAATTCTAAATTCCTTCAAATGAGATATTATTTTCACAGGGACAATTTCATTTGTGTTCTTCCAACTTTTTTGTTTCTTAGAAACCAAATAAATATAGTTTTTTTTGTAGCAATTGGTTGCATTGATAAAATTTTTTGATTGAAGTTAATGTGAAGAAAAATAACGAAAAAGACAAATTGTTAATTCATAAGAGAAAAATTGAATACAAAAAGATAGTTTCTCTATGATTGGTTAAAGGAACTAACAACATCATACCAGTTAAAAATGATCAACATAACAACAACAACAACAACAACAACAACAACAACCCAGTGAAATCTCACTAGTGGGGTCTGGGGAGGATAGTGTATACGCAGATCTTACCCCTACCCTGAAGAGGTAAAAAGACTGTTTCCGAAAGTCCCTCGGCTCAAGAGGATAAAAAGACAATATAAGACAACATAATAGCAACATAAAAATGGTCAACATAATAATTCATACTAGCATGGGGTCATCTGCAATCTTATTCATAACTTTTAGCTTTTTTGAACTTTCATTTCGAAACTAAGATTGAAAGTCTATACAAGGAATAGAGTCTAATTTTCAAGTGATAAATGTAGAGCAAACTGCTATCATGTTGCCTTTTTGCTTGAAGGCAGGCATAGCCACTAGGAAGAAACATGTTCTTATCGATCAACATTTTGTGAAACAGTTTGTAATCTTAATTATTCAACTTGCTATGTGTGTTTAAGGAATGCAATTTATCACATTGTTAAATATTGATTTCCTACTTTATTCTCAAAAGTTCAGTTGAGACATTTTATCAAACACATCGTAGATATTTTTTTAACATGGGTAATTTGACACTACAAAAATCACAAGAGGTTTAATTTAACACTACAGAAATCACAAGAGGTGTAAGACTGAAGAAGAACCCGTTTTGTTGCCGTCACTCTTTGCCCACAATAATATTTTGCTCAACAACTGATTTTATTTTTCTCCTTGCAATTTGGTGGTGGTGTTGTTGTTGCAGTAGTTTGTAAATGGTTTAATCTTTTATTTTTCTTCATTCTTGTGCCAAAGAATCGTTTCCATTGATCCGAAAATATTTTTCCAATCAAAATGAAACCCATCAAGATTTTTTGGATAGTTCATTTCTCTTTCTAATTTTGACACTAACCCAACAAGAGAATGTAGTTTAATCATGGTTTAGTCTAAATAAAGTTTGATCCTTGGATCTAAAAGATGACAAATGTCATTAAATTAGACATGCACTTATAAAAATGGAGAGATACTGTAGAGGAGTTGAGCCCAATCCGATATATACACAAGATGTCAAGATTCACAGCTTTATGAGAAATTTTAGAATGTATCTCGCACACCTAACCCAAATTGTGTGAGACAATGTATTTATTAATATTAATTAATTATTAGAAAAATGACATTGTATAGACGCTGTAAAAATAATAACCGAAAAGATGTATAAAATTTGTATGTATATATATAGTATTCTGTATAGTATATACAAAAATTATACAAATTTTATATATTTTTTCGGCTATCAGATGTAAAAATTTCTAGCACGGGCTAAAAGTGATAATACCCTATTATTATTAGGGAAATTTTCATAACTACAACTTTTGTAAGAGTATATTCCATTATCTACAACTATTATTGGATTTACGTTTTGTACAATATAAGTGATTTCATTTTATATAGCTAATGAGGGTCCAATTTATTAAGTCACCCAATAAATATGGTAGAATCCCTATAATTAAGGAAATCAACTAGCAATCAAATATTATCACATCAATGCAAATCTAAATTATCTCCATTCTGTTAAGAATATTTCATTGTTCGTCCATTGATACAACTCGCATTTATGATTCATCATGATTTATCATATCATAAGAAATATTTAATCCAAGTATTATTTGAACCTTAGTTGTAAGGAAAAATAAACAGTAACAAGAATTTTTAGTTGTAAGGAAAATCATCCATGATAGTACACGGGCATTGATAAGTTGTAGATACATTAACCGATTTATATATATATATATATTGTATAATATATATTTATATAGTATATCACTATGAGGGAAAATATACATTTAAGTACATGAATTTTAATTTGTTGCAAGCGTATATTAACTTACTTATATATTAGTATCTATTATATATAATGTAAATCTATGTAGTATATTACTGATATATATAAAGAAATGAATACCAATTTATGTGTCATTACAGATTTTGAAAAAATATAAGTGTCTGTTGCTTAAAATAAATAAAACTTTTATTAATTAATTAGAAGAATTCGTTACTTAAAGTTATTATTCATCCAGCAAATTGATTCACTAAAACACATCATCGAAATGTTATAAATATTCCCATAACACTTCTAGCTACTTCATTGCATTATATTGTATATGAGGTATATCTACATAATATATTACTGTAAGAAA